GCTGCAAGGAATAGTGTTGCACTCTCTTCTTATATGGATCTCGGGAATTAAAACCTTTTGCAAACATTTTGGAAACCATAATATATATACTTTTATATCTCATATAAAATATATTTTGCAAAACAAATCTCAATAATTGAAATCGGCTACCGGCAGTCTTGGTTTCCATCAGAGAGAGTGCATCCCCGATCATTACCTTTGCCCGACAAGGGGGCTGATCCTGTCACTATGATCACCCACTCAGATGAATTCTCAGACTGTCCCAACATACCCAGGTTTTGACCCCCGCTAAGGATCTCACTGATTGGTACATCAAAGACAGACTAATCCGACACTTAGTGCAGTATCATAATCAAGTCTAGGGGTCGGGTGTAACTTTCCAGTTTTGCCCATCAATCTCCAAGGTCCAGGGCAATACTAGAAATTTGAGATGTGATCTAGGTTATTCACTGGACTAAATCCCTTCGATTTTTTGCTCAAGAAATTCAAAACCGGTGGCAATAGGAAACTTCTGGTCATTGGACCATAGGTTTCATTTAAGTAGTACCACTCCTAAGACATTGTTCTAATATCCATGGGAATCTGTTCTTGTAGTTTGTAAGCTTATCCATTCTCTCCCAAACTTGAATGTTCTGTTAATATATTTTTAGGGTCTATTTTGGAACTCAGCATCTATTTCAACAGTAGTAGAAGGCAGATTCTCTAACCAAGTACATGGGCACATTGCAGACAAGTGCATCCTTGAAATTCACTGTTCTGAACCCCAAGGGACGCATCTGGACGATGGTTGCAGGTGGTGGTGCTAGTGTTATATATGCTGATACTGTAAGTATACTCACATTTTTTTTCCTTCTTTTTCTTTGATTTGCTGTATATTAGTATCAAAGTCTGGTTTGAAAATGCTTCATGAGGTAATGGTGCAGTTATCTTTTCTACCACCTGTAAGTTGTTGGCAATTGGAATGCTTCAAGTTCTTTGATGTTAAACTCCCATAACTCTGACATCTTTCTATCTGTTCAGGTTGGAGATTTAGGTTATGCATCAGAGCTTGGGAACTATGCAGAATACAGCGGAGCTCCAAATGAGGAGGAGGTTCTGCAGTATGCCAGAGTAGTTATTGATGTAAGAACCTTTAAACCTGGATACTGGATAAGGTTATAACCTCTTTGTTTTGTGTGCATTTAGCAACTTTTGCATTTTGCATTTACTGTGTAAACACATCTTTTGCAGTGTGCTACTGCAGAACCTGATGGTCGTAAGAGAGCACTTCTCATTGGAGGTGGTATAGCTAACTTCACTGATGTAGCTGCCACTTTTAATGGCATTATTCGGGCCCTTCGGGAGAAGGTATGCCAGGGTTAAAAACTTTCTTTTGTGTCATCATCATCATATCATCTAATCCTTGTCAACTATATGGGATCGGCTACATAAATCCTCTTTCTCCATTCCATTCCGTTCAGTGCCATATCCATCATTGAATTATGGGCGCTTAAATTATTGTTGCTACTTCCACCCAAATCCTTTTTGGTCTACCCCTAACTTTTCTAGCCCCTTCAACTTGTAGCAGACCACTTTTCCTAACAGGTGCTGTAAATGGTCTTCTATGCACATGACCAAACCATTCAGTCTACTTTTTCTCATTTTATCACCTATTGGAGCTACTCCTAGGTTACATTTTATATGCAGGAATCGGCTTTCTTTTGTGTGGTTTTAATATTTTATGTGTTTAAGTTCGTAACAATTCTGGCATGCAGGAACCCAAGCTGAAGGCAGCAAGAATGCACATTTATGTTAGAAGAGGTGGCCCAAACTATCAGATTGGTTTAGCAAAAATGCGTACCCTGGGTGAGGAGCTGGGGGTTCCCCTTGAGGTATGAGGTCACGACACAATCTGATTTTTCATAATGAGATCACTTTCGATCAACTAGACTGTTTCCAAGATTTGAAACCCTGGTCACCTAGGTCACAATGGAACAACCCAACCATTTCACCAAGGCCCACCCTCTACTGTTACCCTATAGCTTAAAATGTAAATGTAAACCAGTAAGAACATTAAGAGTATTATAATTCTTCCTTAAATAGCATAAAAACTATAAAACTTTTCTTCTGAATGGCTGAAGAGCTTTTATGTTTTCATAGATGATGTGGTTTTGTTGCATCAACCTCGCAGGTTTATGGGCCTGAGGCTACAATGACCGGAATATGCAAGCAAGCAATTGATTGCATTATGTCAGAGGCATAAAATCCTTTTTGAATTTTTGTGTCATAGTCCTAGATTTTTTGGTCCTTGTCCAAGAAATATTTTAGCTCGTGGTGTTACCTCTTAAGGAGGTGGCTCGATTGGATTGCTGTAAAATCTGAAACATTATTTCTTGGTTATGAAATCATTTACTACAATAGGACTGTGCTATAGTTATACTGTTTTCACTTTTCATTAGCTACTATAGCTTCCAATTATGTTTTGCTCTTCTAGTTAAGACTTCTTTCATTCTCATTCATGTGGCAATCAAAGAATTTGTTGTGAACTGAACTGTTGGATGGGCTGCATGAACCCAGGATGTACTGCTGCTTTCCTTTTTAGTTGAATTGAGAGAAATACCATCGTTGGATATATTGGTTTCAACTTTCAACTTAATTCATGATTTGTTGGCTTTCATCATATACAAATAACAAATCGGATGGGTGAAAGGATGTTGATATATTACGGCATGGCAGTTGTGGGTCAATATTGGATTTTGCCCATTTGGAAAATGGTTATAGATAAAATGAAAGCTCCCGCTTAACCTGGCCATTGAATTGAACCACCAAAACCGACTAGTTTCCTATTTAGCTTGAATCAGAAAGGGTCCAGTTCTGGTTTTTACCCAGTTCAACTAGCAGGAGAATTTCTTTTTCTGATTTTTTAAAGGCCATTTATCCATTGTTTGTATCAGCTACCCGTAAATTGTAGAAAACGGTTCAAAATGTTGATTGTCTTTGTAAACCTACCGGTGCTTAAACTTTGGAAGAGCCAGGGGTGTCCAATTGTCCATCAACGTTTCAGCGGTTTCCAGAAAATGGAAGATGTGGAAAAACACTGTAGTTGTTGATAAATTTTTTTTTCAAAACAAAAACATTTTTGAAATCCAACAACTGCATGCAGGTTTCTGATAATACGCACGTTTTTGAGAACTCATTTTTGATGTTTTCAGAACGACGAAGCATTTTTCACAATTTCTATAGCCACGTGGCCTTGGAAATGCAAAACGTACATGGTAAGCGAACTTCAAGTTCAGAAAAACTTGTTTGTTGAAGAAGTGGCCCGGCTTTTCTGAAAGCCACAACCCATAAAATGAAGTACCCGTTTGGGAAGGCTTTCCGGACACGGCAGCTTCTGGCATTCTAAGCTGGGCTCCATCCACATGGAAATGCCATAAGTTGTGTTTGGTGAAAATTCCAAAAATGTATCTCCACGTTTTGGACATGAAAAATGCAACTGTTATTATTACAGTTCAATTACCATAACTCATCTCCACGTTGCAGTTGTTCTTTTTTTCGCAAAAAGTAAACCTTGGAGAAGCTCGGATGGCTGTTAATTAAAAAATCGATCTATTAATAGTGAAAGTGATTGCAATTTGTTATCAACAGTTTAAAATATAATTTATACCTCTCCTGACAGATAACCTGCCCTGAAATTTATCTCTAAAAACCTTCCTTAACGCTTGGCATAAACTATGCTTAGGGTCCGTTTGGTTTGCAGTTGGAATCGGAATTGAAATCAGAATCGAAATTCTATAATGGAAATCGGAATGATTCATTTTTAGTTTATTTGGTTCAGACAAGAATAGGAATGTGAATTAGAATCAGCAAGAATGAAATTTCATTCCCAAGAGGGGCAGGGAATGGCCATTCCCTCAAATGGGGGAATGCCATTCCAGCAGGAATGGGAATGGGATTCCGATTCCGTCCAATCAAACAGTTAGAATCAGAATAGCCCATTCAGATTCCAATTCCAAACCCCTATTCCCGCAAACCAAACAGGGCCTTAGTTTGATGTTAGAAATCTAATGGAAATTGATGATGTCATGTTTCTAAAAGAGGCTTTAAAATCCCTGATTTGCCATGGATCATTTTGCATTAACTAAAATTAAAGAAAATGAAAATAAAACAAAAGATAGTGGAAATGACAAAAAAAATTGAAAATAAAATAAAATTTGAAAATAAAGTGAAATAAAAACAGAAGAAAATGATAGAAAATAAAAAGTAAAATATAAGTTAATAAAAATAAATAGAAAATAGTTTAAAACAACCACAAGAATAATAATAGAAAATTGCAATAAAAAAAGAAAAACAATAAGAGGCAAAGAATGTTCAAGAAATTATACTAATAACAATGAAACATTAATTAGGAATTAATAAGGATAAACACTTCATTTCTCTCTAATCAAGTTAGTAGGGGGGGGGGGGGTCAGTAAGTATAGGTCATCCCAAACGTCAGGAAAGATTTTGGGGAGATTAAATTTTAAGGAAGGTCTAAGTATTTATTATAAACACTAGGGGAGGTATAAGTAATTTACCCTTATTCTTACAATTTATACTAGCGGGCGGGCCCTTGTGTTGCTGGGTCTAATGTTAAGGAAAAGTGCAATTTTGAAGGTCATATTTAATTTTAAAGAAACATAATTGCCAAACGTGAAATTAGGCATTGCAAAAATAATAACAAAGTAAAAGAAGTGATAATGGTAAATTAAATGTGTTGCATGTAGATGTAGCCTTAGATGGCGTTTGATTGTAGTTTTTAGAGGTCTGAAAATGCTGTTTTTCAGACCTCACCCCTTGTTTGGTTTTACCTCTTAAATATGGTCTGAATCTTATATTCAGATATGAAAATAATAGACCTTGGACCAGCTCTTAATGTGTTCAAACGCGTTTCAGAGCCGATGCAAGGTCGAATCTATCCTTCTATTTTTTTAGAAATGATGCACGCTACCCTTGATTACCCCCAAATCCAAGAAACTTAATCATTTCGCAAGGAGGAAGAACACCTCTCTCGCTCTCGCTCAGGGAGGAAGAACGCCTCTCTCTCTCTCTCTCTCTCGCTCCCTCCCTCC